TCAATGATATTATGGTCAGATAGTCTTCAAAAATTATAAGCGCCATAAAATTTCACACAAACTCCAATATATTATCTCAACAATCTTCGAATTCCAATTCTGTTCTTATATGTCTGTAAAAGTTACGAATACCATGTCTTGATAGCCCTCAAAGAGTTATAGATATCATTCTCAGATAACCCTTGAAAAGTTGTGGATACCATGCCTAGATAGCCCTTGAAAAGTTATGGATACTATGTCTGAATAGCGCTTAAAAAGTTAAGTATAGCATGTCTAGAAAACTCTCGAAAATTCTAGAAATTTCGTGATAAATGACCTCAACAGGTCACACAGTGTATGTGTATATATGTAGACAGTGTGATAAAGTGGTATCCAATATTGGATAAACATGGGTAAAATATGGACGAAATCTGATTGGTCAATATTTTCTAGGATAAGCTACATATATTTTTATATGTAGCTTCTATATGTATCTTATCCTGACCCCATCAAGATTGCACCTGAAGGTGTGACAAGTCAATACACCTCTTACACTAATAGCACTCCACATGTGGACTTTATGTCGATTTTTTTTATTCGTTTGATTCATTATATGAACATTTTATCCAACGACGAACAGTGTTTCGGAAAAGTTCAAATGATGTTTCATCTGTAAATCGGCTTGTCCAAACGTAACGCTGTTACGTTTTTGACACATTCTTCTTCAATTATCTCGAAAAGTGTAATAGCTAGAACGTTCGTTCAAACGCCATTCGATGCAGCTTCTCGAACTCTACTTATTCTATAAAAAAGATATTTTTTTGTTGAAGCCTCGGATATCTATAAGGGTTACATTGTCGTGTAACACTGTTACATAAAAAGACCCTTATTCTTCAGTACCACCAAGAAAACTATAATTTCTTGCGGTATATTTTGTTCAAAAGAAATGCTGTTAGAACTATGTTTGTAGAGCTTTGAACAAGCTTTCTAAAACCAAAACCAATTTTCTTTTAGCTATTTTTATTTGTGTGAAAAATGCAAAAAACAAACGTAACGCTGTTACACACTTTTTTGTGACCCATTTTTGAAGTAGTTAATATCGTCCGAATGATTTGAATCTTTTAACGGTTACTCATTACTGTGTAGATAAACGTCTATTAAAGAATCAGATGAATTCATCCACGACGGAGCTCAAAAACTGGACAGGAAGTTGGGGAGGGTATTGGAAGTTAAAAATTATTACCAGCTATTCAAATCAAAACTAAATAGGCCATTTTGTAGAGAATCCAATTCTGCATTGAATGATACATCTCTCGAAAACTTTTGGAAAATTTTCTTGGATAGAAAACTCGAAATAGGATTTTTCAAAAGTTTAAAACCCAGTTTTTGATAATAAAATTTGAATTTTTTATAAAAGAAATCTAAGATTCGTAATCAGCGTTAAAAACTGCGTCTAATAGCTTGTTCAAATCTGTTCAACTCGAAAAAAAAAATTTTAAAAACTTGATCGGCGAAGTGTCGCGTTACGTGGACAAGCCGATATACCTTATTCCATCTAATATTCTGCTGGTGGTCATCTTAAATATGTTGGATATAAATCAGATATGAATAAACTGAGGTTATATGTTCATCTCACTTGGCAATCTTTATGATGCTCTTCTATCCTTTATAAATAATCCTTAACAACTTATACCTAAACATGACATAATCAATATGAGTTCATAAACGAAACAACATTTAACTAACATAAATAAGTTTTCATATAAACGTATACACGCAAGCAAAGCACAGATTGATTAAAACCAATCTGTCGTAAGATACACTTCTTAAAGTACGCATAATATTCGGATTTTAATCCTACGTTTTCATATTTATTATTTTAACAGAGGATCAATAGGTGAAAAACAAAAGTTTAGATCAGGAGATTGATTTGTGCCTTAAATGTACGGGTCGGTCTATTTATCAATAAAAATGAGTAATGACAAAATTGTAAAAACAAATGCATGTTAATGAGAAGATTAGTTTCAGTTGTTAATAGTACTTGGTCTAAGCATTTTTTCGCACTGACGGTGTAACAGACCATTTGCGTAATAGGCTGTCATTCTGTTTCAGATTTCTGGTGCTACGTCCGCAACTGGTTACTGTAAGCCAACGAGGAACGTCATCTTCAGAAAAGAAGTTCGAGTACTCTGCCCAAATTTGCCAGCGTTCGTTTACCTTCATCCTAACACCACACGCAGAACGATCTCTAGGTGTATAGATTATAACTGATTGGTTGTTGAAGTCTGATGGTTGCTTCATAAATTCATTCACATGAAATTGTACATCGTGACTTGCTCCGGTACCACCATCTCTCCACGTTGTTGTTATATTCATTACAGTACCGATGAAGACGTATGACATGCTCTTAAAGTCTTTATACAAGGAGCGAAACTCTCTCGATGTACATTCACAAGCAAGCGTCGTTGAGTAGAACAATAATGACAACGAATAGGCAACGATAAAGATAACCTTGATAAAGTAATTATTCATTTATTATCTAAAAAAGATATAAAATTCAAAAAATAGTGCACATATTACGGATGATATATGTACTTCTTCTAATGAAAGGAGAACATTGTCTGTACTTTTCCAAAAAAAATAGAACTTTATTTAAAGCTCATAGATCTGAAAATCTTCGACGCCGCTTAACATGTTTAAATAGACATAATAGGCAATGCGTCTTTAAAATACTTCTCTTTAAAAAATTTATTCAATCTATTACATAAAGAATCTAAAAACATTTTAATCAGAACTGCTTTCTAAAGTGTTTACAAATTTGATTATAAATGCAACAATCATCAAAAAAAAACTACTAAGACTTGGGAGAAAATTTGTTAAAAATTAGCGTAAATTCATGTAATTAGACAAAACAAGCTTTTTTAACGGTAGTTCTATCTGAAAAACGTTCTGCTGAGTTGTAATAATGATGTCAGAGTGCTTTAATACAAAGAAAGTATTTCATATGCGGCTGCATAAATAATTACAAAAGCTCAAACTTGCTGCGAAATATCATAGGCAATGAGTATTCTGACGATGACGAAAAATGGATACAAACCGGATCTGAGGTGGATAATATGTTCAGAGCTCGATTCTCAAACTAACTTCATCTGAAATTTTGTAATAGACGCATCAATAACTGGAATGTATATACACAATAATCAATTAAATTTATCAGAAATGTGTCAGATAGTATCGAGGAAATAAACGGCTTTTTGAATACTACGCTATTTTTTATTCATTTCTCATAATTTCTGTCGATATTTAATACTCTGAAATTCTATCAAAACTGTTTTCACGTTTAATAAAGCATAATCTACTTATAACAAGTAATCCATATACAATGACATACTTGTCTTTTCTTTTCACAAAGCAAGAACATATGTGATATTTTTCGAATACGCGTGCCGCTGGGTGGGTGTGAATGAAGTAGAATAAATCATCGATCGTCACTTATACTCTATCAACAAAATCTCTCCGAAAGTCGAAGAATTCACCATTTTCACATAATGTCTAAAGATCTTGAAGTAGTTAATGCAAAGATATAGTTTTTATAATTTTTTTATAAAGCCTGACTTAGACTACTGTGAAAACGTTTTCACTCGAGATCGGGATCAGTTTGCAAGTCTCTAATCACGTGCTATAAAGAATCAATTTTACGTCGAATGTGACTATTTGTCCTTTTCAGCTGTTCCATAAGAAGTCGAGCGTTCGATGTTTGGATTAAAATTTTATTATAAGTGGAAGTGATCTAGGTGTAGATTCACAGAGAATGTTAGCGCAATCGCTAAAACTATTTTTCTTATGAGGACTCGCCAGAACTTTTCGCAAAATTATCATAAAAAGCTGAGTGTTGAATATTTTTCAAAATGATTTCCGTCAAAATTAACGAAACTTGTCTCTTTACAATATGTCTGAAATTAAGTCAAGTCGGACCACATCGATTTAGCAAATTTTCTATACGAACGGTCTCATGCACTGTTTGTGAAATGGTGACTTATATAAAAATAACCTCCATAACATCAGTGGATACGTACATTCCGAATGTAATTTTTTCCGTCGATTACCGATAGATAATTTTGGCCAGAAATTTATTTGCAATATCTAAACTTACTACTTATACGAGACAGACGAAGGAAGTATTGTGAGCATGTAAATTATTTCTTTAAGAGCACATAAAAAACGGAAGAAGTACAATATCCGGCAAGCACAGAAACAGAAGCTGTGAGGTCCTCGTTTAGGGGGTGTAGACCGACTTCAGCCACCAATATATTCGTAGGCCGAATAATGAATAAGATAATCGGGATCAATAGACTATCACGAGAAAACTCACTACGAAAAATGCCTACCGTGATTTAATAATATAGATGAATGGAAGACGAGGATGAATAGAATAATTTTGTTGATGACAATCAATAAAATATAATAACAAACCAAGAATAACACAGACAAGAATCAAAAGGAGGATGAAGAGAAAAGAAAATCTCATGATGATCATATAAATATATATGGATCATAAGAAGAAGAAAACAAAAAAGATACATATATATGTATATATAATATATATGCAGTCACTCGACCCGCACATAGAACAGAAAAAAAGAAAAAGTATATATATATATATACGTTAGCGTCATAAATTCTATTCATAGACGCGAACAGAAGCCAGCAAAGTTTAGATATTTTTTCTTACGGATCGTACTTTTTATACATACATGCCTAACATAATCTGGTACGCGAGAACGAGAAGTGTGTATAGTTTATTAAGCAAGAAAAGAAAGTAATATAGTCGTCCAATATTTAGCTCAGATAAGAAAGAAAAGAAAAAAAACGCGTATAGGACGACTAGAAGAAAAATAAGCTCGCGC